GCGGAGGAACACTGGGACCTCTTGCACTTCACATGGCAAGGGCGACGTTGGAGATTTACATGTCTACCCTTCGGCTTGTCCTCAGCACCTTGGTGCTTCACAAAACTCATGAAGCCAGTGGTAGCTTTTCTCAGGGCGCGAGACATTCGTATGATCATATATCTAGATGATATTTTAATCATGGCATCCTCACCAGACCAAGTACTGAGCCACCTACAATGGACCATACAGTTACTCGAGGCCCTGGGTTTTATGATAAATTGGGAGAAATCTATAACCAGTCTGGTACAACAGAGTTCCTGGGATTTCAGATCAACGCCATCTCACAATTCCTGTTCCTTCCAGAAACGAAATTGAAGGCCATCAAAAAAGAGATCAGACGCACATTATGAGCTCGTCCCTCTCCATTTGACAACTAGCCCGAGTAATAGGACTACTTGCTTCCTCAATACAAGCTATCTTCCCAGGGCCCCTGCATTACCATGCACTACAACGGCGAAAAGGCTCTCACCTCAGATCCAGCCATTCATACGAATCCACACTAGATCTGGATGTAGAATCACGGGAATAGCTAGTTTGGTGGCTAGACCATATGGAGGCGTGGAACGGCCGAGCAATATTCGGAACCAGTCCGGACCGGATTATAGAATCGGATGCAAGCTTACATGGTTGAGGCGCACGTTGTGGCAACATATCCACCAGTGGCAGATGGTCCATGGAGGAATCCAAGTTACACATAAATTGCCTGGAGCTCCTGGCAGGATCATTCGCCATCCGCAGTCTCTCCCTGACTGTAGGGAGATGTTGTATACTGCTCCGCATGGACAACATCTCTGCAGTCCGCTATATCAATCATCTAGGGGGCACCAAATCCAAACAACTAGCGAACCTAGCAAAGGATTTTTGGCAGTTTTTGCCTTCACAACGAGATTGCGGTGACAGCCGAACACATTCCGGGCTTGGACAATATACAAGCAGACTGAAATTCCAGATACCTGCGAGATCCGGGAGATTGGCAACTTCTCCGTTCAACCTTTCACCAGATAAACAGAATATGGGGACCACTAGATATGGACCTCTTTGCATCTAGACTGAACACCCACCTTCCGTGATACTTCAGTTGGCGACCGTATCCAACAGCCTTGGGGACAGATGCATTCCTACAGATGTGGCCGAAGTCTCGACACTACGCATTCCCCCATTCAACCTCATATCCAGGACACTATCATACCTATGCAAACAGGACTGTTCACTAGTGATAGTGGTTCCCCTCTGACACGCTCAACCGTGGTTCCCTCGACTGCTGGAAATGGTAATCGATTTTTCACGAATAATACCATCGAGACCGGACTTACTCTTAGACCCAGAGGGGAACTCACACAATCTAATCGATCAAGGCCTGCTTCAACTCACAGTATGGTTGATTTCCGGAGCCCCTGGACACTCACAGACATTCCACAGACGGTTACAAGACTCATGGACAACTCTTGGGCACCAGGGACCAGAGCGGCCTATGGTTCCGCATGGCACGTGTGGGCTAGCTGGTGCATGGAACGGTCATTGGATCCAGTTTCAGCATCTCTGAAAGAAGTACTACAGTTTTTGATGTCTCTTTTCGAAGAAGGAAAAGCGTACCGTACCATTAATGTGTATAGGTAGGCGATCTCGGCAGGACACCAGGATCACACCCCTTCATTTGTAGATTATTGAAAGGGATACGCTTTGAGAAACCTCCACAAACCAGGTATTCTTCATTCTGGGATGTCAACGTGGTTTTACACTTCTTGGAGGAATGGGCACCAAATGAAGAACTCTCCCTTAAACACCTGTCTTGGAAACTACTTACACTTTTGTTCCTACTGTCCTGCCAGAGGATATCAGACGTGAGAGCCTTGGACTGGAACACATTGTCATTCACCCCAGAGGGAGTATCATTCTCCATATCGAGAAGAACTAAATGCAATACAAGATCTATCTCCTATCCGAGATATCCCGGACACCCCTCATTATGCCCAGTGAAATGTCTTCGTTCGTACCTGGAACGTACTCAGAAACTACGACCACCTGAGTTGAGTCAACTATTTATATCATTTCGAACCCCCTTTCTACCAGTGTCCACACCCACGTTGGCTCGTTGGGTCAAGAACTTGTTAGCACTAGCGGGGATTGACACCTCAACATTCTCTGCACATTCAATGAGAGGAGCCATGGCATCCAAAGCCTCAACAGTTGGTTGTCGACTCGAGGATATATTAAAGGTGGCAGATTGGTCAGTGTCATTAATAAAATTCCAAGATTTTACTAGTAACCTGACGTAAAGTCATTATTTTATTAACGACAAGGAGGCGAGTATTATTCCCACCCACCCACTCGGTGGGCATGGTACATGCAATACGGAGGGTCATAATGATCACTCATGTGGTAAGTAATAGGTAATTTTTGTATGACATATGAAACATCCCTTTTTATGTACACATATAAAAACTACTATAATCTGCAATTATACAAGGCATAATAAACATAAAGGAATAAGACTGACATATAGTTCCGAAGTTAAAGCTAATTATTATAATGTACTGTTTCTTTAATGTTTATCTTAAGTTTGTCTCTTGTGCCACTCCATAGTTTGCATGCTGCTTCAGGTACTCCCCTCCCCCTCTCCTGTTCTAGTGTATTCTATGCTGTACATTCATATGTGACTTGTATCTCTCGTAACCTGTATGGAAGAATTGTTCTTTTACCTGTTGTAACTGCACATTCTACAGATCATACGACGAATAAACATCACCAGATCTTCTTTCATGTGAGTTGTGACTGAGTAAACTATCTGGGAAGGTGATTTGGTATGGATAAGGCAATGAGCACCATGTGCTCCTGAAAAACACATTCATAGCCTTTGCAGCCGTTCCAGAATATCAGAAGTTATGGGAATTATTACGTTCAAGTTACTGCTGATCTTCATCGAGAAAGTCAAAGAAAGTGGAAGTTAGAGGACTGGTCAAGACACTTAATGTATATGAATGTATATGATTGGCTGCCCTGTTGTTAGGCAGATTACTTATGTTATTTTGTTTTATTCTCTTTCAAGTTAAATTCTTTGCTGCTGAGGAGAATAATAAAGAAAGAGAAAGCATAATACTCGCCTTCATGTCATTAATAAAATCATGACTTTATGTCATGTTACTAGTAAAATCTTGGAATTCTTTCTATCCTCTGCTTTCATAACTTCCTTAGTGTTAGCAAATGATTGTCCTGAATTTGTTGCCCTACCTATTTCCTGCATAACCATTTTTTATGTAATATGTGATCACATAATGTGGACTAAACTACAAAACTTAAATACGCATAAATATAAAGTTACAGCATATTTATATATATGGAAGCCTGTTAATAAGGAAACCAGAATATTTATGTCATGGTGCCTGCCTCCACTTGCTTGCTCCAACACACATGCAACATCCTGGGACCAGGTCCCAGAGTGCTGCTGCTCCGGCGGTGCTCCCTGCAGTCTGGATCCAGCGTCCTCCCGCCCACGCGGCATGTGGAACTGGACAGGAATTGGTGGGGGTGCTGAAGGAGTAGGTGGGAGGAGCCTCGGCACAGTCAACATGGTGCATGGTCCTGGCTCCCACTTTATGGGTTCTAGTGCTCCACCTACAGAGAGCGGGGGTTGCAGGGGGAGTGGCTGGCCTCATGACTGCTTTGCATTTATACACCAAGCACTGCACTTAGTCAGCTGTTGGTTGTTCTGGTGCTCTGACTTCCTGCTCTATCTTCGTGGATCTCCTGGCTTTTGACTTTCGGCTTGACTCTTGACCTCACTCTTTGCTGCCAGCCCTGACCATCAGACAGCCTGACACCGCTTCTGGCTGCTCCCTTTGCTTCTTCTGTAAGTAAAGGCACCCACGCCCTCATAAGTTCCTGTATCACTCACAGGCTCCTGAGAAGATCATGTTTGCAGCTGAGTACCTCTCTAAACAAATTTAAAGCAGCTGTTACCATCTGGGGTCTTCACATAATGTGGCAGTATGGTGGCTGAGGGGCTCAGGAAAAGGTGAGGTATACTTACCTGAATCTGTCCCTCACAACAAACTTCTCCCTGCCAGTCATCTTCAACTCCCAGCACTTTAGCTGCCAGGAGCCAACAATAGAGTTGTACTCTTGTGCATGCGCGAATGAACAACACTAAGGTCCATGGAGGATCCAAAGAGACCATGGGATATTCCACAGAAAGATCCTTTTTTTTACCTCAGTTATCACTAGTGACAGCTAAGGGCTTGACAAAAGATAGCTCTGCTATTTGTAAAGTTTTACAAGGAAAAAACTATGACAAAGTCTTCCTTACTTGTCTCAGTATATCTTTTGACTGGGTTGTAATTTCAGTTAAATCAGTACAGTAAAGTCAATGTGCATATTTCATAAATATTTATCATAAAGCTCTGATGGATGTCTGTGTGGAATAGATTGCTCTCAATCCTCCCTCCTGTCTGATGAAGTTTTTTTTTCTGTCGTTCCCCAAAGTCCACTGGTCCCTCACCTTCACTCACTTTATTGTTTTGAAGTTATCTCCAATTAATTTGCGCTACACCATTTTTAGGGAAGAGCTATGTCTTCCCTCCCCCAGTTTATTCCAGGAATATTTCATAAAGATGTATCATAAAGCTTTAAATAGTCCACAATACATTTTTCCCATCCTATGGAACGAACAAGGTGGGTAAAATTGTAATTTTCAACCAGACATACATGATTTCCACATTGTGTTGAGTGGGATATGAAAATTCCTAACAGTAATATTTAATTATAAGTCATAATAAATAAATAATGGTATCATGCATGGGTTGCCATCAAAATTCCCTCCTGTGACTCTTTTTTATGGTACACTGATGACTTAAGTTCAGGATAAACAATTCTTGACATATGCATAGTCGCCTTTCCAGCATATGCGTTACCAACCCAAAAACCCCAAGGATACGCAGACACCTTATTTTTGGGAAAATGATCACAGCTTCAATAATAAAACAAAACATATAAATTATAAAAAGGTCATTGTCAACATCCTTAAACATTGCATATCAACCCCCAAATCCTTTAACAATTCTACCCCAGACAAGGACCCACATAAACAATTCATGATACCACATTCTAACATATAATTTAACATATAACCACCGAGGGCATGATTTACCATATTCCACAATGTAGGGGTATACCTGAGATACACCTTACATACACCAGGTTCGGAGCTATCCACGAGCTTGAACCAACCACCATATTCCACAATGTAGGGGTATACCAAGATACACCCTACACACACCAGGTTCGGAGCTACCAATGAGCTTGAACCAATCAATACCCTTCCAAACCTAACTGTTCTTAGCGAGCTAAACTCTCTTAGAACTGGACAAACGACCTACACCCCAACTTGTCTATCCATCCCCTGCCGCCATGACCAAACAGGAGCTAGAACCATAAAAAAGGGAGGGTGGGACAAAACAGTTAAGTGAGGATTAAATTAAGATGGCCACTGATCTAAAATGGTCACTAAATAGTCTCCCATAGCCAAAATCCCACCCCCACTTTCTTTAGC